AGCTTTCCTAGAGTTTTAATTTTGTAATGTGCAATATGACTTTCCAAAAGGGAAATAGCATATACAGCATCTCTGAAACTTTTGAAGTCTGGAATAATTTTGCGAAGGACAAGTGTTCCCCAAGTGGAAACATCATGAAAAATACATGACTGACTTTCTGAGAGAAGATATTATTATGTATTTTGAAATGATAGTGAATCTAAGTCAAAACTGACCTTCTGCAGTTCCCTAATATTCATTCACTCACCGAACTCTATTGACTTATCTTTCATAATTTTGCTTGTGTTTATCAAAACATTTGCATCCTTTTGCCACCATCCTAATTCATGGCATAGTAATCTATTTTTTTAAAAAGTATAGCTAGGTGATACTCCTCTTTAACCACATTACTGTCACAAGGAACTCTTACTTTTTTGTTACTTTTTTTTTCCACCTGGGACCTTTAATTTTCATGAAGGTTCAAATCCATTCTAGATGCCAGGTATCTAGCATCTACAAAGGCTGGGTGACCAACCTTTGTAGTTTGCCTGAGACAGAGGGGTTTTTTGGGATGCAGGACTTGCTAAAACTTGGGAAGTCCGTGGCAAATGGGGCCGAGTTAGTCACCCTACTCTCGGATGAGTTTCAATAAGAGACCTTAGAACGCAGACTTTAGTTTGTTCTACTGCTACCAGCACCCCTACCTCCTGCCCCCACCCCAGGCACTTGAGGCTAGGATTCAGAAATTGAATTCTTATTTGACACTATAATTTCACTGACTTGATTCATTTAGTTTCCTCTATTTCCGAGTCCCTTGACATTCATTTACTGTTGGAAAGCCAATTCTTCAGTACCTTCATGTCCTCAAGAGACTTGAATCTTGACACTGAGTGATAGTCCCTAGAGTGGAACCTAGGAATCTGATTCTCATAGGCATTTCCAAACAATCTGTTTTTTAATATCTGAATTTTCATTTCTTGTTTTTAAACTCCTACCAATTGTCTGCCTCATTACACAAGGTTTCTAGATCTCTCAATATCCTGGTGACTCCGAGCCTGGCCTTTCTTATTGCTGGATCTGCTTGGACTGCATAATTAGGATTTAAGGTATGAGGACCAGATTTACAGGTAAGGGAACTCTAACTTATTGCTTACTCAGCAGTTTTTCTCTTGGAAATTGATTGAAAAAATTTATAAACAGTGATTTAATTTAATAGAGTAAAATGCACTGATCTTAAGAGTTACACTTTGAAGAGTTTTAACAAGTGCTTACACTTATGCAACAACTCACACCTCTATCAAGATGTAGAATATTTTCATCACTCTAGAAATTTCCCTCTTGTCCTCAATACAGGCCTCAGCTGTGTGCCTCCCCCAATCACATTTCTGATATCCATCACTATAGAATAGTTTTGTTTATTCTAGAACTTTACATAAGTTGACTTATGCAGTAAATATTCTCTTTTGTATAATTTTTTCACTTAGCATAATGTTTTGGAGATTCATCTATGTTGTTGCAGGTCTCAGTAGTTCATCTTGAACATGTACTATCCCAAAGACTTAATTTATAATGGAAAAGGGATCTGCTTGCTTGGAGAACAGTAAATATTCCTGAACATCTTCAGTCCTATCCCATTAAATCAATAAACCTGTATATGAGGGATACTAAATACAGTTCTGTACTTTTATAAAAAAGAACTTACATTCATTTATTCAATTAAAACTCTTCTTTCCAAAACTCTTATGATGATAGTATTGATAGAATTCGAGTCAAACTTCTAGATTAAATACAGTTCTATTTGAAAATGCTTTGAAAGGAGTTTGAAGTTTCAATATGTAATATTATTAACAGGGGTTACCTCCTTTAACATTTGATAAAATTTAACATTCCATAGTAATATTTGAGATAAAAAGTTTTCATAGCTGTTAAAAAGCATTATATAATCACAGATAATTATAATGAACAATAACTGTTTACTGATCACCTACCATGTGTAAGAAGATATGCTGGAAAAGGAAACTTTCAGGAAAGACAATGAGAAATAAAGAGAATTAAGTTACAATCAAATTTAAGGTAAGATATTATACACTCATAAAATAAAAGTAATACAAAATACATTATTGTAAATACCAAATGAAAGGAAGGAGATACTTTTGTGGGACTTTACATGGTAGGTGGAACCACATGAGCATAGTGGCTGGCTAATGCAATGATATCAAAAGGTATCTGTTCTTTTTTATTCTTTCTTTTGATTAAAAAATGTATATTTTTGGAAGCGGAGGCTCTAAAACATTTTGCATCGGATTGAGAAATGACAACAGAGACTTACATTGGAATCATCATTTTGTAGGTTTTAAATAAAAAGTTTTGGTTTTATCCAATAAGATATTGGATCTGTTTTGGTGTTGATTTTTTAAAAATTAACTTGTATTAAATGATATAAGTTTAGGAATTAATTTTTCGATACTGTATATAATCAACTTAGAAGATAGATCATTTTAATCATCAAAGTATTACTGAAATGAATGTTAATTAAATCCCTATATTGTAAAATCCACCCCAAAATCTATGAACAATGTTGATATCTATCATTTGTGTAACTTAATGGTCAAGAATCAATACAAAATGGAAAAAGGTTCATTTTAACTCATTTATATTTGCCAATTTTTAATTATATAATAGTATTCTATTACATGAATACACAATAATTTATCCATTCTCTTGTTGATATACTTTGAGTTGTTTCCAATCTTTATCATTTATAAATAAAACTAGCACAAGCATTTATATGAAAGTTTTTTATGGACATACGGTCCTACTCTCTTGGTTGACAATAAATAGAATTGTTAAGTCATCCTATGGGTGTATGTTTATCATTAAAAAAACCCTGCCAAACCATTTCCTAGAGTAGTTTTACCATTTTATACTTCCATCATTAATGTGGAAGAGTTGTGGTTTCTCCATATCTTAGCCAAAATTTAGTGTTGTTAGTCTTTTTAATTTTAATCATTTTTGTGGGCTTGAAATGACATTTGTTACGGTTTTAATTTGCATTTCTATGATGACCAATGATGCTGAATACTTTTTTATATACCTATTGACTATTTATAAATCTTCCTTTGTTAAGTGCCTGCTCAAGGCTTTTGCCCATTAAATGAAATTGTTTTTATCGCTTAGTTAGGATATTTTTATGTAGTCCAGAATTTGTGTATATCAAGAGTATTTTCTGATATATTTATCAAGAATATTTTCTTTTAGTCTGTGGCTTGTTTTTTCATTTTCTTAATGTTTATTTTGGACAAGTAGAAACTTTTAATTTTGATTAAGCCTTTTTGTCCTATTATGACGAGTACTCTGAGTCCTAAAAAAATCTTTGCTTACTCCAAGATCAGAAAGCTATTTTTCCTTCAAAAAGATACATTTTATTCTAGTAGTTTTATAGATTTTTAGCTTTTATGTTTCAGCGCATAACTTGAGTTAGTTTTTATCTTTGCAATGTGAGGTAAGAATTTAAACTTCATGTTTTCTTCATTGATATCCAGTTACTGGGAACTTACTTCTGAAATCCAAACTTAGGATATAATAACTTAAAAGTATGAATGCCAATTACATTGTACTATAAAGTTGTTTGGCTAATTAGTACAATTTTTTGCTTGAGACTTAGTCATCTTGTAGGTGGGCCAATTGCCAAGGCTAAAAGTTAATAATCAACAGATTCTTGTTGATTACTAGAGTAAGCAATATCCAAAAATTTGTTCAATGGACTAAAAATTGAGGAAACTCATTTAAGACTTTCTTTTCTAGATTCCCTCCTGAATAAAATAACTGCCGCAGCAAAAGCCTCCACCACAAAACCTGACGTGGTCTCGTGCAGTTTTATGTGTTTCAGTGTCTACAATTACTGCTTCCTTTATATCTGTTGCATGTTATATCTTTTTGTTAACATGCGGAAGAAGCTCCTTATTCTTGTAAGTAAAATAGTTCGAAAACATAATATGCAATATAAAACTCAGCACTGCTTGGTTGCAATAGATAGGAACCCCCCACAAAGTTGTTAAAGCAAAAAAATTTTTTGGTTAGATTAGTTAACTTGAGACGTCCTTGGGCTGAGGCTGGTTAGGCCAAATATGTACTGAAAATTTTCCTTATGTAAAAAAATTTTTAAAATGTTAAAAGAAATTGGTAAATTTCCTTGGTAGTGGAAATAGTCAAATGCTCTCATTCAAAAATACTATTATTTGTAGGTAGTAAAACTGTATGGAGACTTAAAAATATATTCTAACAGTCAAAAACAAGTAAAATTCCTTAAATAAAATTGAGATATTTGCCCCAAATAGTAATAATGTAATTTGTATTAGTTTTCCACAGAATTATCTGTACTTAAGAAAAAAAAAAAAAAGAGCCAGCCCTGATTTATTAACTCAAATTATCTGCATTTTGCTTCCACATTCAAATTGCAGTCTAAGAATAACTTTGTTGAATTTCATCTAGTGGGTGTTTATTTAGGACTTTTATTAAAAACAAGAGAAACAGAAAAGGAACAGTGCTGTGCAAATGATCTGTGGGGTTCAGGCGGGATTGAAGTGCTCACATCCCCTCTGAGGTGATGATCATCTTCGTTTGCTTTGGCGTTTTCAGATACTATATGTCTCTCTTTGTGCCTGCTGTTTGCAAAAAGCTGAGCTAGTGGAAAAGAAGAGCTAGCCTGTATTTCCAATGGTGTTTTGGACTGCGGGCATTTGTTCCTCAGCGCGGCTGTGTACAGGGCCAGGGCTGCATGGAGCCGATTGTTTCTCCGGGTTGTGCAGACTGGCTGTCTGATGTCGTAGTTGTGGATAGCGGCTGCCAAGAAACCCTGTTCCTTTCCATTTTGCCTGGTCCTCATTTCGCCGGAAAACACAGGAGCTGTAGCCGCACATAGACTTTTTCCTCTTTCCCTTTCCCCCTCTTACCCCTCCCCAGACCTCTCTGGGCTTTGACGTCATGTGTGCTCCTTTCAGTTGCCATAGCAACCCCATTCCCCAAGCCCTCTGTCCGTCTCCTCTGGTAGGTTCCACAATGGTACAGGCAGCATCACGCTGCACAATGGTTTCCAGGCAGTGAAAGAGGGTGATTCAGCAAGCCACTCTTCTTCTTCTTTTTAAAAATCTTCCCTTCTCTTTTTATTTTTATGGGGGTGGGTGGTGCCTGTTATATGCTTACCATTTTCTTTTCTTTTTTCATTTTTACAATTTTCCTTTTTTCTCCTCACCCCTCAATTCTTAGGGGCTTGAGTGACTTTAAGATTGGGTTTTCTTGGAAATCACTTGTCCATCATTAATTTTAAATAATTTTCCCACCTCCAAAGAATCTGCTCCTTATAACAGTTTGGGATGTGGTTAATGAAAAACAAGTAGGGAGGATTTCTGGGGCAAACACTGCTGGATGAGGATCGTAGTTCTGAAGCACGGAATGGTAGGTGGCTCTTTGCTCATTCTGGGTTCTAACCTGATTTTTGGAGGGTGTGGTGTTTTCTATTAATTGCTCCTGGTAGGGTGGGAGAACTAGCATGGTAGAGGGGTAAAGATGAAGTGGAAAGCAGGCTAATGAAGTGAACTACCTCTAAGGCAAAAAACCACCAGCCTTCCCTTCTTTGCGGAGCATCTCTCCCCTGACTTGGTAGTATTGGAACCTTTCTGTTTGGAGTGAGGGTTGGCAGAGGGTGGGAGGGAGGTTTCTTATTGTGACCAGGGATTTTTAGACCAGTGCAGAGCTACAGAAGGGAAGAGAGAGAAACAGAGATAGGAGAGAGAGAGAGAGAAGGAGAGAATTAATATGAACAGGAGAACAGCTGTGCTTGTTAGAAGTGCTGGCCTCAGTCCCATATCCAAAAAATGCTATGGGTTCCCTAAAACATTAAAAATCATGTCTTCAGGATGCATTTATATTTACTTCCTGAGAGGTGTAACTTAATAAATATTTTGGGACATATATATACATATTGTAGTTGAGAATGCTATTTATATATTTTAGTTGCAAAACTAATGGCATTACTCTTGCAGAAGCACTAGGCTAAATTTGGGCTGGGGAGAGGAACAGAGAACAGGAATCAGCTTCGACATAAGAGGAAACATTGGCACTGCAGTCATATAGGTAAGGGGTCCCTTTAAGAAAGTGATCTCCTAGTCACAGCAGGCAGCATTTTTTTTTTAAATGGCATGATTCCCAGGTATTCTGTGCTGGGACTGTGTCCCCTAGAAATGTCAGAGCTTTTTGGGGGGGGGGGGGGTGAGATATATCATCAGAAATGAGCATGGCAATATAATTATCAGAATTTATATGTTTGTGTTTGCAGCAAAATAAATGTGATTTTTTGGAAAGCTTTCAAGTTAATCAAGGTTAGAGATATTTCAAGAAAATTATGTATATCCACATATATTTATCCCCCCCCCCCATCTACATTTAAATCTAGATACTGAGTCTCTGCTGCAACCCCTTTAAAGGCAGAACTTCCTGGGATATTGCAGTTTAGCCACAGAAAGAATGGCTTATCCCAAGACAGCCAGCTCTGAAGCAATCACAAGGTTGTTTACACGGCTGTCTTTGCTGCAGGGCCAGACAGGGTCTGTACAGCAGCCCTGCCCGCTGCCGGTCTGTTGATGATAACTTTTATGAACAAACTGGAAAGAGGCAGGCTAAGTCATGTGGGACAGGCCACACTCAGATGGAAGGAAAATGGGTATAAGTGCACCAGGCACTGCCAGCCCAAGGTCTGATTTCTCCCTGTATTCCTCTGCTAGTTGTTGAACCCTGGGAAAGCTCACAGAATGCTGAACGTTGGGTTAAAAATGGTTGCAGGAATGACCATTTCTCAAAGAGAGGCTTCTGTAAATTTTATGCCTTATGCAAGCATATATGTTGTATATAGAAAGAGATGCTCATGAATGAGCTCACAAGCTTCTGACTCCACTTTCGAATCCTTGCATTTTAGGGGTTGGCTAGTTTGGATGTAACAGTTTTGCTGCTCTGGTAGGTATTTCCTTCTCTACCTTGATGCCATCCTTAGACAGAAAGTCCTGGATTAGCTTATTGTACCACATAGAGCAAATTGAATTTTCTCGCCCCCACAAGGAACCAGAAAGTCATACGACAAAGATAATTTGACCTTAGATATTAAAGAGTCTTTATGCTTCCCATTTGCACATCATTCCCTCCTGTTCTTGCAAAGTATCTTTAATTTGATGGACTCCTGGTGTTATAAAATCTTCGCAGTTTCGGTAAAAAGATTTTTGATGATGAGGCAGTGAGAAATTTATGTAGAGTAGAAAAATCAGCTGCCTCTAGCTTCTTGCCTGGTTGCCCCAGAACAGCATCTGGTGTTGGGAGGAGTGCATTTGCCATGCTGGAAGGGGATGTTTATGAACAGATCCCAGAGGGACAAGTGTGTTTTTGCTGTCATTGTCTGGTATGTCTGCAGCTATTTGTATTTAATAGTTTCATAGTCATGATCAATATTTTTCAAGGTTAGAATGAACTGAGATTTGATTGTGGATGGTACAAAATATACGTATTTTTAAACTGCAGGAAAATTTGTAGGTTTTTTTTTGTTAGTATATCCTATAGGAAAATCACAAGCAAAAGGGATCTTTCTGACCTAAGTAATGTGAACAAGCCTCCCATGTTTCAGATAAAGCCTCCTATAATTAAAGGGTTTTTAAAAAAACGTATTGTTTTATTGTGGCGTTATATAAATTAATCCTTTTTTAAAAGATGTAATCTTAGTGAAAAAGTATTTTAATACTAATGATAAAAGACAAAGACTAACTGGAGGTTTTCCTGTTTGTTAGACACAGGGTGCAGATGCTTGCCTTTCCTGCTCTCGTCTGGCTTCAGGTGACATTTGTAGCTAAAGGCTTTGCATGGAATTGGTGCGTTCAGATAGAATGATTGCTCAGTTGCTTATGAGAATAATAGACTCAAAACAAGAGAGAATTCCTTCCATAAGAATAATAGGAAACAAATTGACATTTAATTTTTTTTTTCTCAATTGCCCCTACTATTTTCTCCCCAATGTCTTTTAATCTTTTGGTTGGACATTGCAACACTTATGCAAAAACAGGCAAAAAGTGTCCAGTAATGACAAGAAAGGAGTACAATGCTGTATTTGTTGCAGCCCGAGGACTGCCTTCCTACCACACTTGGGTTTCTTACACCTTCTGAGGACCAAGGACTTGTAGAAAAAGTTGGGCCTATAGACTAATGGGGGTGATGCTTATTGGTAAAGAACAGAATCCATTCCTTTCTTTCCCATATTAGATACATTTATTGCATTTCATAAATCTGAGGTGACACACTGTTGCTGATTCAGATAAAAGATCATGCTGCATATTGATTGTTTGAAAGAGAAAATATAATTTAGAATTTGAGCTTTGATTTCCAGAAATTTACCTCTCTGTTCATTTTTTCATAGCAAAGTTGTAAAGTTTTGAATAAAGATTTTTCAGCTTGACTATGGTCTGTCCTTATGAAAAAAATTAATGCGAAGAGAGGGAAGTGAAAAATCTGTCTGCTGTATGTTTTAGGTATTAATCTTCTTCCCCCATCTTTATTTAATGGAGGAAAGCTTTATTTCTTACTGTGAATCTTGGTGGAAAATTTAATTGGATACCACAGGTGATGCTAAAAAATCTTTAAATAGAGATATTTTGGTTTGAAAAGTGGACCCCAATTTTATATTCATTTTTGGTAAAGTTTTTTTTTTTTTTAGTTGAATTGATGTTTTGGATGCCTAACAAGCCACTGTGGCCTTTCTCAGTGTTCTTATCCCTGGTGAATCAGAGATGGAAAACCCATGGGCTTCTGGAAATGGAAAATAGAGTTTTGAGTGGCAAAAGAAATGACTGAAGGTTCCTTAAAAGCATTCCTAACCCACAGTTGCTCTCAAACATGCTATGCCTTGCAGGTGTGAAATGAAGTTCCCCTATAGGACCACTAGGCAGTTGCAGAGTGGCCTGCACAGTGATAAACAGGATTTTTGCTACATTGTGTATGTGTGTGTTTGTTAAAAAGCAGGAAAAAGAAAACAAACCGCAGTAGTGACATACAAGTACTAGAAATTCATTTCAGTGGCTTGTCTTTATAGAAGTAAAACTGCTTCCTGGTTTTCGGATGTCCTGGGTCCTTCATCTGCTTCCTGAAAATGTTTCTTTAAGTGATTATCCCCTTCTCATATGTTGAAAATAGGATTTAAAAGCAATGATAGTAAAGAAAAGCTTATAAGCTTGTTTATTTGATAATGTTTATTCAGCATCTGTACTACCTGTCACAAGCCTTATTACACAATACAATTATTTCTTATTTCTATGTTTCCTGTATAACTTACTAAATTATATTCTCTGTCTATTTGGCACATAGTACGGGCACCATAAATATTCCTTGAATCAGTGTCTCCCATGTCCACAGTTCTCTGGTAAGGGCTATGGGTGGCAGAGTTTGTGAAACAGTAATATAGTTTCTGACCTTTGAGACCTTATATTCATTTAGGGAGGTGAGATTAAATAACAAGGATGGTATATGATGATACAATTTATGATTTGATGAGAAGTGTATTAGGAATTCAGAGGAGAAAGAAATTCAGCTCCTCTGAATTGGTGGTGGTGACCCTGGGGCCACTTGGGGATGGCCTGGGGGCCGAAAGCGCTTGGGAGGAACTCCTAGAAGCCTTTGCTAGCCCCTTGCCAAGAAAAGGAGTCTTATTTGGAGCAGAGCGGGTTTGTTTTGGGTGTGGTGACCATACTTTCCAAACTAGAAAGCAAAACTTGTGTTTGATGATGGGTAGAACATTAGAAACTGGTACAGAGCTGGAGAACCTGGTCCAATGTCGAAAAGTAGCAGTAATAGATTGAAGTTACAAACCTACTTTTGGTTATGATCAGATTATGGAAAAACTGCATACAGGCCACTTTTCTGCTTCAGACCAACTTTGGTCTCAGTCCTTTTATCAGTAACCAAGGAACCCATTGTTCCAGTGAAATCTTACATGAAAAGTAGAATATGCAAACATGTGACAGTGGGGCTGTCCCAGTTGAAGCTTAGTAGGGTGGCTTGTATCAAAAAACCCAAGTCTATGTCACAGAACCAAGTATCACATCACCCAAAATAGCAATACTAATTTGGCTTATGTTCAGATTTTAAAATACCAGCTACTCTGGCGTTGGTAAACCACAGTTCTTGTGCTTGTGGTAACTGTGCAGAGAGAACTACCTCAAGATGTTTTACTCCCCTCTGGCTCCCCCGCCCCATGTCACCCATCACGAACTGTCTTCTCAGTTGTTTGGTTTTCTCAATGCAGGTAAAAATTCCCATTTAAATGTTAAAATCAACCTTGCCTGTATTTTTGCTTGGATTTTAGGCTAGTATGAGAAACACCAGTGGCAGGATCATCTCAGATCTTCATTATGGCAACACATGCAAGAAGCTGTTGAATTAGATCCGTTTCCTATAGATGAGAACCCATACAAGCAGTGGTGAGTTGTGAATTTGAAAATGTTCCTTAGCAGGAAACATGATCTATAGGAACAACTTAAAAAATATATTGCTTATGATTTAGTGTATGGATCTGAAGAAATACTTCTCTAAAAAATGTCACTAAAGAAGTGAAAATCAGTAATTAGAATGTTTAGCTGGTAGTGCGGTGCTATTAATACCACAGATAGCAGCATGAGCTCTTGAGGTGCATGAGTGCATTGCATAACAGCATGATGCTATCTCCCTGGATGATACCAGCCTACGTAAGATGGCTGCAATGAACAATTTCACGTGGTTGAGTAACAGCTAGGTAAGAGTATTATTCAGTGGTTTTAGTATTTGCCACGTAATTCTATAGTTACCAGTTCATCCCCTCAAGTAAAGAATTGATTCTGAACTAAATTATAATGCTCAATTCCTTTCACATATATATGTATATATATTCCTACACATATGAACACATACACATATAGGTACATTCATTTAGATCTTTAGAAATAAGGGAAGAGAAATCACATCATAGCTTTCTAAAACTCAATTTACGTATATTTTAGCCTACAAATCTTTTTGCCTGATAAAACAATATTAAAAATAGATCCAGTTGCCCTACTAGTTGGAGTAATTTTAAAAAATATTATAAATGTATCAGCATACACAGGAAAATATATTTTTTTATCAAATACTTGATGTTTCGCATTCACCAAAGTCAATAAACAATAGACTCCAGCAAAGAAGAACCAGTTATCTGTCAAATTACATCTTTGAGAAAAAGCACATGACAGTGGTGCTCGTAGGACTGCAATAGGAGCTGTTTGGGGCTAGTGATCAATAGCTTTCTTTCAGTTGCTTAGTGGCTTATATAACTTGGAGTAGGTAGGCTGGCCTGTGAGTTAATGTATAACCTGTAACTGCAGAAAACTGATGAAATTAACCCTATACATGTTTCACATCATGATTTTCATTACAGTCTGCTTACAGTTATATTGAGAAAGGAAATGTAATAGTCTCTATTCTGTGCTTAGTCAACATGCATTAAATTGCCAACAATCAACCATTTTCAGTGTAAAATAAGGGCAATTTCATATTGCTGAACTCAATATTTGAGTCATGTTATTCCCAGTAATGTAAAGGACATATATTATATTGCGCCATCTTTTACATTTATTCATTATGCATGCATTTTTTGAGAATCGGTGATGTAGATGTCATCCTTAGCTCTTGGGCTAGGTAAAAGAGACTATGCCTGCATTAAAGGAACTTTCAGCCTAAAGGTGTAACACAATAAAGTATGCCATTAAAAGGGAGAGAGAGCATCTAAACAGCGTGGTACTTATACAAGGCTATTAATAGTCAGACAGGAGGTGGTAAAGGAAGTGCAGCAGAGAAGAGGCTAATACAGATGGAAATTTGTCAAGGAAGGCTTACTGGAGGGAAAGATATCTTGGTTGAATGTTAAGGACAATAAAGAGGTTAGCCAGACAGAGGAAGCAGAGCAGTGGGGGCATTTTTCAAGGGTCCATAGGCATGAGAGAGCATGATTGTTTTGGGGGGCCACTAGGAGTCATTTACTCTGCTGGGGCATAAATGGGGGTGGAGGAGGTGAAGAGGGACACAGGAAATGTATAATACAGGACTTCTTAGAAGAAGATAAGGAGTCTGGATTTTATTTAACAATCAAGAACTTTTGAAAGATTTTAAGAAGGAAATTGACATGATCACATTTATTTTTTTAATTGTGAAAGGTCATGCACATAGAAGAATGTATGAAAAAAACACAATTAAAGGAATAATTATAAAGGAAACACCATACAACTGGGAGTCTTATTAATAGACTCCCAGTGTGGCTCTGTGTGCTCCTTTAAGATCACATGCTTTTCCTTCCTCACTAGAGGTAACTGTTAAGCACTACCCTGCCTTTTGTTTTACTTGTTTCCTTATTTCTCTTTTTTCTTTCTTTTTTTATTGTTGTTCAAGTACAGTTGCCTCCATTTTCCCTGCCACCATTTTCCTCCACCCTACCCATTCCCGCCTCCCACCCTCAACCTTTCCCCACTTTGGCTTTGTCCATGGGTCCTTTATACATGTTCCTTGATTTGACCCTTCCCCTTCTTTCCCCATTGCTCACCTCCCTCCTTCCCTCTCGTTACTATCGGTTTCTTTTTTCTTTCAAAGCTGTTGGTCATATTTTCCTTGCCTGCTTGCTTTGTTGATTAGGTGCCACTTAGAGATGAGATCACATGGTATTTGTCTTTCACATGCCTGGCTTATTTCACTTAGCATAATGCTCTCCAGTTCCAGCATCACTAGCCATCACAGAGATGCAAATTAAATCCTTACTTTTCTTTGTAGATTTTCCATCTTGCAATCATATTATATTCTTAATCACCTAATTTTGCTAAACATTGTACAATTCTTCTTCTATATTGACACATGACGTTTATTCATGTAAATTGTTGTAGAGTATTCTGTTCCATGAGTATACCAAATTTATTTATCTATTATACTGTTAATGGACTTTTGGATTATTTCAGTATTACCTATACTAACATATATTACCTGAGTTATATGTATTTATTTAATAAACATGTTTATAATAAAGTTATTAAGTATATATTATGCTATATATATATATACAATTGATCATAGATGTTAGTATACATGTATAGGGGCCTCTCTAGGATAAATATCAAGGAAATGAACTGAATTTTGGGGAATGTGCACATTCAGTTTTTCTAAATAATGCTAAAATATTTTTTCTAATTAGTTCTATCAGCAATGTATGAGAAGTCTATGTCTTTATCAGCACTTGATTTCTAAGTTCTTAAATTATCCTAATCATATGGATATATAATTGCACTTATTATTAATTTGCATTTTGCTGATTACTAATGAAGATCTTTTCATTTTTTATTGGCCATTTGATTTTCCTCTTTTGTGAAGTGCCTGCTCAAATCTTTATGAGATTTGTGTTTCAAAATAATACCTAGCACTTATTGAGTTTTTATTATGTAATAAGCACTGTGCTAAACACTTACAAACATTTAATCTTTCTATCATTTTTATGATTTACAGGTAAGGAAACTCAGGTTTAAGGGTGTTAAATAACTTGCTAGCAACCACACAGCTAAGAAATAGTGGACTTAGCATTCAAGCCCAGGTCTTTCTGACTCCAGAGTTCCTCAATTTATTGGATAGCGTACATAAAGTGATTAGATTGGAACCAGAAAGAATACTTAAGGTGCTATTGCAAAAGTCCAATTAAAAAAGAACAAGGGCAGAAACTGAGAATCAGCAGTAGGACATAAATACAAAGCAACTGGACTCAGTAATGAATGTCATGGGTGAAGAGGAAGGATTTTTTTTAGAGTTTCACTTTTATTTTGTTAATTTTATTTTCCTGTTGTTCTGCTACAATTGTCCCAATATTTCCCCTGTTGCTCTCCCCTGCCCCATCCATCTGCCCCCTCACCATTCAAAGAGTCAACCCCCCACCCTGTGGTTCATGTTCATGGGTCACCCATACATGTTCCTTGACTAGATCCTTCCCCTTTTTTTCTCCTCCTCCTCCCCCTACCCCCTCTCCTCTGGTCACTGTCAGTCTGTTCCTTGTTTCCATGCCTTTGGTTCTATTTTGCTTATTTGTTTTGTTCATTAAGTTCTGGTGACATTATAGGTGAGATCATAAGGCATATTTCTTTCACTGCCTGGCTTATTTCACTTAGCATAATAGTGTCCAGTTCCAACCATGTTGTCATTAAATGTAGGAGTTCCTTCTTTCTTTTTGCTGTGTAGTATTCCAAGGTGTAAATGTACCACAGTTTTTTGATTCACTCATTTACTGATGGGCATTTAGCCTGTTTCCAGCACTTGGCTATTGTAAATAACACTGCTGTGAATATTGGGGTGCATAAGTTCTTTTAAATTGGTGTTTCAGGATTCTCAGGGTAGAATCCCAGTAGTGGAATTGCTGAGTCAAGAGGCAGTTCCATCTTTAGTTTTTTGAGGAAATTCCATACTGTTTTCTACAGTGGCTGCATCAGTCTACTTTTCCACCAAGAGTGCACTAGGGTTTCTTTTTCTTCGCATCCTCACCAGCACTTGTGGCTTGTTGATTTGTTAATGATGGCCATTCTGACTGGTGTGATGTGATATCTCATTATGGTTTCAATTTGCATCTCTCTGATGGCTAGTGATGTTGAGTATCCTTTCTTATGTCTCTGGGCCCTCTGTGTCTTCTCCTTGGAGAGGTACCTGTCCAGGTCCTTTGCCCATTTTTTTATTGGATTGACTGTCTTCCTGGTGTTGAGCCATATGAATTCTTTATATATTTTGGAGATCCAAACTCTTGTCTGAGTTATGATGGGCAAATATGTTTTGCCATATAGTTGGTTCCTTTTTCATTTTGATGATGTTTCCTTTAGTTAAGCAGAAGCTTTTTACTTTGATGAAGTCCCATTTGTTTATTCTTTCCTTTATGCCCCTTGGCTCTAGGGGACATATCGGTGAAAATATTGCTGCATGGGATATTTGAAAATTTTCTGCCTATGCTTTCCTCTAGGACTTTTATGATATCCCAGCTTACATTTAAGTCTTTTATCCATCTTGAGTTCATTCTGGTGTATGGCATAAGTTGGTCACCTAGTTTTAGTTTTTTGCATGTACCAGTCCAGATCTCCTAACACCATTTGCTGAAGAGGTTATTTTTATTCTATTTCATGGTCCTGTTCCTTTTGTCAAATACTAATTCACCATAGAGACATGGGTTTATTTCTGGGCTCTCTATTCCTTTCCATTAATCTATATGTCTGTTCTTATGCCAGTATCAGACTGTTTTGATTACAGTGGCCTTGCAATATAATTTGATATCAGGTATTGTGATCCCTCTCACTTTGTTCTTTTTTTCTCAAAGTTGCTGAGGCTATTTGGGGTCATTTTTGGTTCCATATAAATTTTTGAAATATTTGTTCTATGTCTGTGAAATATGTCATTGGTATTTTGA